AGGGGTAGACAATAATTAACATCGCGGATTATTAACGGTGTGAAGAAAGTTTAATAGCGTCGTAGCGAGACACGTCGGCGACGGACCAGTCCGAAACGAGGGGGACATCATCAGCTTATTCATGAACTTCGCACCCATACCATGAGATGCATCATACTGCTCAGGTGCGAATGAATGCACCCTATTGACACGGGATACTTTTTAACGAAAGACTGTCCTGTATAGTCTGAAAATGAACTCGTGAAACGTCCACCAGTAATGGACGGTACCGGTGAGCTAGCCCGCTAGATTCTTTGAGAGAGGAGTCTCCTATCGCTCTTCTTTGACGAACGTTGAGATCAAGATCGGAGGGGGGAGGGGGAGGGGGGAGGGGGAGGCGGCGGCGTGCCTCTCTCGAACGCCCCAGTTTCCCGCTTCAAAGCAAAAGGTGCATCTCGTGGGCGACGCGCCCTAAAAGCTCCTAGTTATATTGTGTGGCTGACGCATTTTTTGGCGCGCGTACAGAATTCCATCCGTAGAAGCTGGTTTTTGCATTAGTATACATTGCGATGTCCCAAATGCGATCCTCACACTTTTTCGGCCGAAACTCCTTTTTTGACCATACGATCGATATTTCCCTCAAAACGTTGTGATATTTCCGACAGGCTCTTATTACTTGTTTAATATCAAATGGATATTTCTTTTATAGTTTAGAAGTGAAAAGGAATATTTAATGATAGAAATGGAAAAGCAGAGATATAAAAAACTGACAGTGTTGAAGTAAATTTTTTAAAAAGCAAACCGATAAATTAGTCAAAAATGTTACATATATTTTATATGTGCCAACTTTAAAAAAGGTTGGTTTTCGAATGTTACAGCAAAATTTACCAAGTAAATAACTTTTTTAATGATAAATACCGTACGTTTAAGCTTGTGCGTGGTGATTTCACATCCGTTATACAAGTCATCGATATTGATTTGCTTCTTCGTAATCGATATCGTCCGTGCTCCGTAACTGCGTTTATGCTTATGCGCGTCCGGTTGAAACGATGACATTTTTTCACGTCGTAGTAGTATTTGCATTGAGCAACTCAGCCAACGATCGCCTTAAAAGAACGAACGTATCGGGATCTGATATAAAGTCGTCTTCGTCGATGTATCGCATTGAATCAAAATATCGCGTGCATTAGAGCCAAACATTTCGTTTTTGGTAGCAGGTAGAAATGTTTCAAGAATTGCATTTCGGACGTTTTAATTAATTTTGACTCGTTCGAAAATTCCATATAAAAACATATTTTGATGACAAGCTCAGATCACAAGCTTAACGTCACAATTTCGGATTTTATAAAATGATATATAAAATTTCAACGATAATCCGCCAATTTTTATCTATATATTTTTCTTATTCCTCATGATGTTGATTAGAAAAAAAGATGTTTGTTCGGAAACACAAAGTCTGACAATTTGGTTAAGAATCCGCGCGCGAAAATCTCCGCGAATAGCGCATCCGCAGATGTTTTTCTTGGTCGCAAAAACAAGCGGATGACAATTTGTGCGCATACATGCGAGACGCACAACCGATTTGCACGACGCAGGACCGGAGGAAGAAGCGAGCAAATTTGAAGCGCATTCCCGTGATCGAACGTGTTCGTGCTGTTGCGTCGCGCCGTGCGGCTACAGTTCGTCTCGTTACGGCGCGCGCGTTCTCCGCTGTGGTATCACAATCCGCGCTGTGTGTGACACAGCTACGGAATACCGATTGCTCACTCTCCCATGGCGTTTCCTGTTCCGACCACGTATATCCCGCTTTCAAAATGAGAGAGAGAGAGA